GTTCGAGGGTTTCGGCTTCTAGGATGTAGGTTGTTTGAGGGTGGCTCCAACGAGGGTTTTTAAGGTTTTGTCGAGGATTTACCAGGGTTGTAATGTTCTTTAAGGGATTTACGGTTTAGGGTTTGCTAAAGGATTGGTGGGCTTGGCTTAGGATCCTGGCTTCAGGAAGAGTATTGCATTGAGTGTTTGGGCAACTGTGCGACGCGGCCACGAAAGATGCCATGCACGAGATGCACATAACTTGCGCTGTGGTGCTTGAACTGGTGTAGGAAGCCTACTGAGGACACAAAGCCCTATAGGAACCTTAAGATAATGCCCCTAAGCCTTATAAGAATCCTAAACCCTATAAGAACCCTAAACCCTACAAGAACCTTAAGCCCTAAACCCTACGCCTTAAAGCGTGCTGCGCAAACCTTGGATACTGCTTCCACTCAGTAACAGTTGAAGAATGTTTATAATATAGATGTCTAAGGCCCTTAGTACTAGCCCGACTATACCTTGGCGTACTTCTGGTTGGCTCTTAGGACTTTAACTTTTTGGGTTTCTATATGAACCATAATAAGGAGGCTAAAGGTTTAACTTTTTGGAGGGGTTCAGAAGTCAGACAAGATACACTGTTACTGTATGGGGGCAGTACCCGACGCAAACTGTACGAGACCATGATCGAAAGCCTGATACAAGCCACAGAGCACTTGTAAGCCTTGATTCCACTTACAGAACCATATAGGCCTTTTTATGTGTGCATATATATATATATATACAAACACCGACCGAGCATGCCGTGAACCGTTAACCCTAGATCGTAAGCTTTTCAGGTGAGCACGCCTGAGCCCACGGCCAAGCAGGCACCGAACCCCACCCGGGTTCGTTTCAAGGGGCCCCTAAAACCCTAAACCCTAAACCCTAAACCCTAAACCCTAAACCGCCCTTGCATGAAGAGTGCAATTCGCCATTCCACAGGCTGTGGATGAGTGCTCGCTTGTAGGCATTAGCACATCTGACGACGGACTTCGGCGTTTCAAGAACATCCTGGACGAGCTGAGGACCCGCGGCTCCGGTGTGTTGCGATCTAGCGACGTCACCGGCATGGATTGGTCGGTTGGCCGCATGGGGGCTCTTGATGGGTACTTTTGTCTTAGGAATTCCACTTCCCGAGACGATCGCTTCGTGTCCGCCGTGACAGCTCAGACTTGGAGTCTCATCAACAGTACCTACATTGTTGGTGGCTCTTGGATCGCACAGCTTGAGTACGGCGTTGTCCAGACTGGGAGCCTCAGAACCTCCCAGCAAGACGGGGCTCCTCGTCGCGTCGATAACGTTCTAAACTCGGGGCTTGTCTTCGATAAGGACGACATGGTGGCAGATGTCGCTTCCAGTTCGGTGGACCACGGGGACGACCAAGTGGCTACAGTGCCTTCCCAAAGGCAACTGGAGGCACGGGAGTTCGTCACAGAGTGGGTTTCGCCTTTTGAGGAGAGAGACGTCTGCTTCGCCAATTCAACCGATCCGGTAGACACCTTGGGCCGGCACTTGTACGAGAAAGACGGTCGCGTCGAGTTTAGTTTGAAGAAGTGGAAGAACTCGATCCAGGGGATTGTTGCCTCTCATGTTGCAGGCGACTCCACCAGGATTGCGGACCAAATTCGGTCCTTCAGGTTCGAAAACAGATTCAACCAAGAGGCGCTGTCGAAATTGAACGATGTGCTGGACACTTTGGAGATCAAGGACGTTGACGACGATCCGGAAGCCACGACTGTCCCACCACCACTCGGGCCTTTGGCAGACTGAGCACGCAGAGGGGGTGAGTTTGTTTATAAAACTACCACACTCAGTTGAGCTGGGGTGGAACAAAGAAACGAAAAATTACCTTTGATCTGGTCAACCAGGCGGGAACAAAGTCTTTTTCGAATTTGTTGTTTATAAGCGGGGACATGAGATTGCCATTGACTGTGATGTAGGGATCAAACAGGGGTCGCCCGAGTCGGCTGAGCTCTTCGGCATAATCATGGAAGATGTTCTCCAGGACGTACGGCAGTCCAGAGAGTGGCAGCAGCTCGACAAACCACTTCAGGGTACGAACATTGATCTTTTGCAATACCAAGATGATGTTTTTGCCATCGAAACCAGTGCTGCGCACCTTGAGACCAAGCTTGCTCTACTCAGTGCTGCTCTGTGGGAAGTCGGACTTGAACTTGCAGCTGACAAAACGGCCATCATCGCCAGTGAACACTACAAGGGGTTGAGAAAACTTCGTGTCGATGGGGTTGAGGTGGCAGTTATGTCGGCGGATTCCTGCATTCGCATTCTGGGGCTCGACTTTAGCTTTAATGGTGATGTGGCAAAACAGGCCAGGAACCTCATTGCCTGTGCTCGGGCTGCTTATGCATCCTGCAGGCCTATCCTATGTGCTAATGGGTCCTGGGGGCGCAAGATGTATGTGATTCGTTCGCTCATTGAGTCCTCCTTTACGTGGGTCGCGGGAGCTGTTCACTGGACCAGGGATGACTTGGCCTCCCTGAACACTTTGCAGACCCACATCATTCGTGATGCCTTTCGCCTTACAAGAGGGGCAACTGAGACATGGGTTGATTGGAATACACGTACGTCACGCTTTGTTCGTGCGTGGCTAGTGCATGAAGGGTGGGACAGATGGAGCACACGAATACGACGCCTTCAACACAGCCTTGCAGGGCATTGGGCCAGACAAGTTCAGGATGATGGAGTTGGGGTGGGCCTTTGTCCGGAAAATGAGATCGTGTCCAAACTTCTTCAGTGGAAAGGGATGAAATGGTGGCGACATGAACAATCACTTTCGCCCGCTGTTGGCGAACGTCACCCAGATTGTTTTTATGCTGCTGGACTTGAGAGGGAGCTCAGCTCCACGTTTGGTGAAGAATGGCAACTGCTTGCTCAAAATAGGGTGGACTGGGCTAGCAGGCAACGTCAATGGCTCGCTGATTGGGATGTAAAGTGGAGTCGTGGAAGACAGCTGTCCCTTCGTTACTAGCGAGCTCGACTTCGGTGCTGTGTGAAGCTCTCCATGCTGATGTTGCACCGTGGCTTCGTTCGCAGTCTTCTCGGCTTTAGCTGCCTTGCCTCTTCCTGGCCCTTGCTGCAATGACAACTCCTCGTGGTCATGGACGGTCTCTTCTTCTGCTCATGGTGGCACTGGATGGTGGGGGGAATCTACTCCCTATGTCGGTGACGCCACGAATGACACTGCGACCTGGACAACCTCTACCTGGACCACTTCCTCGACATCCTCGACATCTTCTACCTGGACTACACCTATGTCGACTTCTGTGTGGACGACTTCCATGGGGGGCCTGCAGGCTCCCACATCCCTGCCACTATCCTTGTGGGAGGTCATCTCGATTGGGAGGTTGACCTTCGCCATACCTTGGATGTGCCTCGACGAGATGACCCCTTCTCCGCGCACGACTTGGTCCATGATTTGTGCCATGAGTGGTGCTGACTTGAAGTACGTGATGTCGTTGATCATATTCTTCCGTCCCTCCCTGCCGCTTTCCCAGAACTCCACTCAGAAACCATGGTACTTTGGGCCTCGCCAACCTCCTTGACTACCTCGGCAACAACCTCGTCTACTACGCCTTTGATGTTTCCGATGGTCACGTGGAATGTCGCCTCCTCGCTCTTCCCCGGGCTCTACTATGGGAGATCTTCTTTGGCAATCACGACTCCTACCACTACATGCTTGGGAAGTGAGGGTGACCTGATCAGTGAACTTGATGCTTTGGGCACCCTGTTTGCTCACCTCACCTTGGACACCTCCCTTGAGGACAACCTGTCTGTTGTGTGTGACGACTTCGGGATGCTGACTACAACGTCGACTACGACATCAGTCTGGGGTGACTTTGTGTGCTAGTCCCTCGCTCTACTACGACATGGTGTCTGGACTGGTGGGGCGATGGCTGGTCCTCTACCACGTCCACAACGCAGGTCGAATCGGGGGATCTGGCTGCCGAACTACCTCTTAGCGCGCCTGTCGTGGAGCCGGACAACAGCAGCTTGCTGGTTCAACTGCAAACTGGCGCCAACGAGCAGGTGAATATTGCCCCCGAGGAGGTTGTGGTTGTTCACTCTTTACACCACCTTGGGGAGAGTTCTGTACGGCACCTTCTACATGATATTGTGACTTCCACCATTAGAGAAATTCGGAGCAAAACACCACTTGCCTACGCGCCTGGTCTTCGATGGGCAATGTACCACCACCTTCGCCTCATCCAGCTCATCATTGATGCGCTGGCCTCATACCGCGAGAGCTTACTACGACAAATCCCAATCGGGGAAGGCGAACCAAGGACCGCCCCTCCTCGAAATGCGGGTGAGTTTAGGTCTCTACATGCTTGGGCGGATGAATTTACGCAGAATGCGGACGTGATTGTCGCATCCGTGGTGGCCGAGCACACAGAAAGGATTCGGAGGGCACAGCTCCAAAGGGAGGAGGACGAGGCCCGAGAACGTGGAGTACAGGATCTGAGAGATCTCGGCCGGCGATGGCAGACCCGTCCTCATGTCCCACCGACTGATCCTCCACCGAATCTGGGCACCAGGCTGACGCCGCGGCCATTCTTGAAACGTACGTTTGAAAGCATGGAGAGCGGTCAGACAGGTCCTGGTGCTGGGTCGAGTGGGGCGAGCTTTTCGTGGCAGAGACCGACCTTGTCAGCAGCGACATCGCGACCGAGGGCGACTTCTTCCCTGCGGACTCCTACCTTAATGCCTCCACCTACGGGACCACCTTCTCGTGCTTCTCGTCCCCCTCATCGATTCCCAGCTGCGTCGCAGGCGAGATTTCCGTCTTTGCCTACTCTCGAGTCCTGGGCAGCTGCTACCTTTGGATGGACGCCGGCTAACCCTCCAACTCCTTGATGGTGTGCCTCGCTCTTTGCCTGGGGCTCCTACCACACCATGGCATGATTTAGGGGAGGCAGCTCCAGTCACTCCACATACCAGGACACCCCATACATTTACCGGGTGCCCACTCTGGGACGAGCACACCTCTCATCCCCACGGCGCCTGTCCATGCCCCCGGAGCTCCTACAACACCCTTTGGAATGGACGAGGCGGAAAGCTCTGGTTACGTCAGTGCTTCCTACTTGGATGACTTCCTCGCTGGGGAATACGATAATTCTACCACTTTGACATCGACCACGTGTTCCTGGCCTGGGGCGACTACAACTACTTCATCTACACCGTCTACGCTGGCAGGGATTATGTCGACGTCGTGGCCTGGGATGGCATCTTCGTTCTCGACCGGGGACTTTGACACATCTGGGTGCGCCTCGTGCTCCTTTTCCTGTTCTACCTCCACCACGACAACATCCCCTACCAACCTCCCTGGGGATTTTGAACCTGAGACTGAAGAGGGGAATACTGACAACGTCACAGAGGCTGATGTGGAGGATGATTCACGTGTGTTGTCCCGAAGTTCAATGGTGGTGGATGGGACTACTGAAAGGGATGATTACCAGGCGGCTGGGATCGGGACGTGGGAGGATGAGGTCCCACGTGGTGAGCTGCGGCCTGGCCCATGCGATTGCAGACCTCGTCACCCAGGAGATTGCATGGCGTCTTCGGCTGCTAGGCGAACGAGCTCCTCGCAATACGAGATCGCGGAGCCCCAGACGGACTCTGACTGAAGGAACCAATGGGTTACCTTTGTCTGAGTATGTTGACTTGGGTGGGGACCATGTCTGGGTGCTTGTTCCGCATGAACCTGGTTCTGGTCCTGGTGCATCACAAGTGGAGGAAGTGGGTGACCCTGAAGCAACCGGCAGCGTGACTTTTGATGTGATTGTGGATGAAGAGGTTCCTCCGGAGCAGGTCGCCCTTGAAGAGCAGGGTATTGGTGAGGTTACCGTCCCGGACTTGCATGCGGAGCCCCAGGACATCGAGGACCCTTTTGCGTTGCTCAGTCCGCCCCAGATTGAAGACGATGAGGTGCTTGAGGAGCCCGAAGTTGAGTTGCAATTTCCGGATATTGATCAGGGCCTGCTTGAAGATTGGGACGAGGCGGCTGAACGTCTCGGAGGGAGGGAATACGCGTCGTGGAGAGACTTGTGACTTTTTCTGCTTTGTGTCGGCTCTGCGGACTATTTCGTGTACTACCTATGACAAGATTCGCGTCTTCTACATATGTCGTGGTTGTCTTCTCTCAAAGCTGCTACAACAGTGGCTGTCTCACCGTGTGCCTCAGTGCGAGGGGATTCGATGGGAGGGTCGGGTTTAACACATGTAAAAAAAAAAACCGCCCTTACGGGAACCTTTCAAGGAGCCCTTAGAGTTAAGGGTTCCTTTGAAGTTTTTTTTCAGGGCAGGGGGGGGGTTGCCTTGTTTACTGATGGATGTCTAGGGATTTACATAAGGCTACCCCCTAAACCCTAAACCCTCTAGGGATTTACATAAGGCTACCATTAAGGGCTCCCGTAAGGGATCTCGAAGGGGGTGGAGATCAGAAGTCCTAAAACCCTCACTACCGCACAAACTCAGAGCCCTAAAGGCCTTGAAGCCCTGATATTCTCGCGAACGCTGTATAGAGAGCCAATCCTACACCGTAAGCCCATCAGCCTAAACGCTACATCCCAGACCCAAAACCTTTGAACTGTAAACACCAAAACCATATAAACCCTAAACCCTAAACCCTGAGCCGTGCACCCTTAACCCTAGATGGCAGTCCCTTCTGTAACCCTAAACCTCACCCCGAACCCCTACCCTAAACTCTAAACCCTAAATCCTAAACCCAAAACCCTAAACCCTAGATCCAACGCCGTAACCCGAAGGCCCGTGTCACGCTGCATCGAAGCGCTCTCCGACTGCGGAAAGCAGTGGATGGCTTGCTTGTCGGGCCCTGGGTCTTGCGAGTTAGGGTCTGTTATAAAGGGGTTCTTCAAGAGGTGTTTAAGGGTTCTCTAAGGAAAAGGTTCTACAAAGGGCTCTAAAAAAAAGGTTCTGTAAAGGGTTGTATGAGCGCTCTATAAGGGGGTTCAAGGCTTTGTCTTCGGGTGGTTCAGGATTAGTGTTCGGGGATTAGCCTTTAGGGTTTTCTGCTTTGAGTCGCGGGTGCCAGGTTTCCGGCTTGTGGGTGGTTTGTTGATTTTACCTGCTTCGAGAGAGCTTTGTGAGTTAAATCGCTGGCTGTGCATGGCACTCCGATAAAAAACCCAACCAAGATCGGAACATGCACATATACATATATGTATGCATGTATGTATGTATGTATGTATGACTGTATGTATGGGTATATATATATATCTAATTATATATATCCCGATCAAGGCTATCCAGTCCAGACGTCCGCCTCAACCTTAAGCCCTCTGCCCAAGTCGCCAAAACCCTAAGCCCGAGACTTTGCTTTCTTCCGAACCTCCTGCGTTTTCCACAAACAGGTACAACCCCAAACTCCCTAAACCCTAAACCCTTAAACCCTAAGCCCCTAAACCCTAAACCCCTAAACCCTAAACCCCTAAACCCCAAACTCCATAGACCCCCAAAGAACCGGAAAGCCGAAGCCCAGCAAGCTCCAAAAGCACAAAGCGCAAGCCCTGAACCCTCAGGGCTTTGGTTTTCGGGTTCTGGGTTTTAGGGTCTTATAGGTTCCTGTGAGGATCCCTCAAAAAAGTCCCTGAGAAGCCAGTGCCGTGCCGAGGCCAAGGCAGCCCCATCGCTTGAGGCCTTGGGGGATGCTGCTGCCTCTGGGTTCACGGGTCTAAGGGTTGGCAAGAGTTTAGTTTGTTGCTTTGGGGATGAATGGGTTTAGGGTTCAAGTAGAGATGAGCCCTAAACCCTAAACCCCAACCTTTGTTGGAGGTGCTTCGTACAGAGGATATGGTGGGGCTCTAGGGGTCAGGGAGTCTGCTGTTTAGGGGCGTGGGGCTTTTGGTATATCGGGCTTTTATTAAAGGTCTGGGTTTGGAGAGGCTTCGGGGGTGCAGAGATGTATGCCCCTAAAAGGCTTAAGGGCCCATATTAGGGGCTCAGACTTCTACTTAAAGGATCATGGGACTTAGTAACTAGGGTTATAATTCAGGTAACTACACTTATAATTACTTGTAACCCCACTTAGGGTACTTATAACCTTACTTACTAAGTCCCATGATCCTCCAAGTAACCTTGAGTTGATTCGGGTTCTGGGATGCAGCTTAGCATTCTATGGCTGGACCATGGTTATTTCCATAGCGCCGGGTATGTTTTCTTTATTTATGCGCTCCTGCAACCCCTGGAAGAAGGAGAAGAAGGACCTTACTTAGAGGATCATGGGACTTAGTAAGTAGGTGATAATTGGGGTTATAAGTCCCATAAGTGGGGCTATCCTAATTTTAACCTACTTATAACCTTACTTACTAAGTCCCATGAGCCTTTAAGTACACTGTCCTCACAGACATATTTCGAATAACAGGAACAATGTTCTACTACAAGCTGGAGCCTACAAAGAAACTACGACCCTAAACACCCACTAGTCTAGGGGCTTCAATATTTAGAATCAGGTTCTGGAGAGTGTTATAGCATAGTAATCGCGAGAAGCCGTAAGAAACCAATGCACGATCCATCCAAGTAGCAGAGAGATGACGAGCGCGATCACTTTTTCTCTGCGACTATATAGGGTATATAGTAGGTATATAAGATATCAGGGTTAAGGATCCCTTACTAGTTTCAAACTTAACGACCTGGTGCGTGTAATTCAGCCTACAGATCAATGAGCATGCTAGCTCTAAGCTACATCCTATCGGATATGGCAACAGTCTTTGATTTAATGCGGTTTCTGCATATCGGCCACTTGTATCGTACACGAGCCCTACGCAAACCAGCACGCGTAAGCCATCCGCGATCGAACTTGAACGATTCGCAATCTTATTCCTTCAGGGTGGAGGGTTCTTCAATGCGAAGTACAAAATGATATACCACCCAAAACCCATCAAGAGTCAGGATAAAAGGGTACATGTAAGGGTTACTGTAAGAGAGAGCTTTATGGGAGCCCGAAAACCCTAAGCCTGAAACCGTAAACCTTTAGGAGACTATAGGTACCTGTAAGGGTTACTATGTAAGGGACTCTTATAGGAGCCCGAAACCGTAAACCCGAAACCCGAGACCCGAAACCCTAAACCTTAAACCCTAAACCGCCCGTACAGGACTTAGAAGGCTTGGAGCAGCAGCAACCCGGCTTTGAACACTGGACTTCCTGGGGTCCTTTTATGAAACGGTTGAAGAGTTCTTTTCGAGTTGTCTCGTAGGGGTTTAGGTTTTAGGGGTCTTGGGGTTGGGGCTTTGGGGTTTAAGCGCTTCAGGGTTTCAGGGTTTAGGGCTTTTTTGGGTACTTTCTGGTTATTTTCTCTGTGTGTGTGTTTTTTAGTTTTGGGTTTCTGTAGATGGTCCTTGAAGGGTTCCTTTCAAGGGTCCTTAAAAAGTCCCTCAAAGGGCTCTTTACGGGTTCCGTGAGGGATTGTTTCAAGGGTTCTTGTCAGTGTTCCTTACAGAGGCTCTCAAACTCATTCATCAAGGAATGACAGGAATCTTAGAATCCACATGTGATTTAAGGTATCTTCCTGCAGAAAAAGGTGTGACCTGTTTGGTAGCCTGTTAAGGGTTTAGGTTTTTTGTGTCCGCCGTTTAAGAGGCGCTGACGCACTGCATTTAAACCCAAGAGCCCTGCAGATCTTTCAAAGGATGCGAGGGTTTTTCGACATGTGCGACTCTCCGCGACAGACCGTGAATCTGCCCAGAGACTCCAAAACCCCTGAATTAAGGAATATACTTTAAATCATATTAGGGATCCTACTATAATTTAAGGTACCTCCCTTACTTGAGGAGTTTTGGAGCTCTGGGTGTCAAGAGCATCACTGGGCTCAAGTATGCGGCGAGGAGGAAAGCTGGTCCCTACAGCGTTTAAAGTGCTCCTGAAGCCTCTTTGGTTGGGGGGTTTTAGGGTTTAGGGCTTAGGGTGTAGGGGTTTAGGGTTTAGGGTTGAGGGTTTAGGGTTTAGGGTGTAGGGTTTAGGGTTGCTTGCAAGGCCTGACGTAATCAAGCCGACAGGAGACCTCGTACTGACGATAGAAGGCTTTTACGCCGATAAGTTATAAGCTTTGTAGTATACTATATATATATATATATATATGTGTGTGTATGTATATACCGATTTCATCAGGACGCTTCGGTTGGTTGGTAGTAGGCACAGTTTAAGGAGGACTCGAGGTCCACCTCTGGAGGGTTCCTAGTTTGAAAGGGTTCGGGTATCTCCTATCCTCCAGCATGAGTGTCCAAGCGACAGACTCTTGTGAGTCCAACAACCCTTCAGTCAGTATCGATCCGATCAGCAATGGTGTTCCTTCTGTGGCAAACCCTCCTTCGAGTTCCTCAGGCCTCCCCACATATTGCAGCCCTTGGCCTAACAACCCCTAAACCCTAAACCTAAACCCCAAACCCCAGAGGATCAAACCCTAAACCCCAAAGACCCAAACCCTAAACCCCCAGAGACTCCAAAACCCCTTAATTCAGGAAGGCACCTTAAATCATGGTAGGATCCCTACTATGATTTAAAGTATATTCCTTACTTCAGGGGTTTTGGAGTCTCCGGGCCCCAAACTGCCCAGTTAACCACCGGAACCACTATGGGCCATTAGACCTTATGGGTACCTTAATCTACCCTTAATAGGGTCCTAATAGGGATCTTTAGGGTCTAATAGCCCATAGTGGAAGACCCAGCACCTTGACATTTTAGCGGCCCGGCCACTCCGAAGCCACGGCCCTAAAACTCTGCAGCCCTAAAGCCCCGAACTTAACATCCGAGAATCTCAAAGCCCCGAAACCCGAAGACCCCTTTTAAAAACAGCGCTTTCATCCCGAAACGTTGGGTTTAGGAGTTTATGAGCCCCCTCCCGTTGCGAAATCCGTCAGTTCCAGCTCCCTACATCCGAAACCCTCAACCCAAAAACCACCAAAAATCCTAAATCCTAACACACTAAAGCCCTCAAGCGCTGAAGCCCTAAAGCCCTAACTTCAAGTCCCTAAACCCCTAAGACCCTAAAGCCCTAAACCCCAAAGACCTAAACCCTAAAACCCCAGGCTCCCCCTTGACCCTAAACCCTAAACCCTAAACCCTAAACCCGGTTTCGCCCATAGAAGCGAGGCTCGGCCCGAAGCCCTGCACCGAGGGCTCCGATGGACCCTGCGGCTCTGGAGCAGTTGATGGGGGGTCTTTAGGGGGGTTAGGGGCTTACTATAGGGGCCTTGATAACGAGATCCTTTAAGGGTTACTATCAAGGATACTATAAGGGTAGTATGATATAGGGTTTAGGGTCTAGGGTCCCTTTAAGGGATCTATAGGGGTTACTATAGGGGTACTGTCAGGGTCTGCGGTTTAGGGGTTTAGGGGTTGAGGGGTTTAGGGTTTTAGGGGTTTAGGGGTTTAGGGTTTAGGGGTTTAGGGGTTTAGGGTTTAGGGTTTTAGGTTTTAGGGTTTTAGGGTTTAGGGGTCTCTGAGATAGTGAACGGGGGAACTTTAAGGTTTTTTGGCCTTATATATGAGCTCTATCTTAGAGAGTTTGAACTTTTTTGGGCCCGGTTGTTGAAGAAGAGAGGTCTTAGGTTTGGGGGTTAAAGGGTTCCTTTAGGGGTCACTATAAGTCACTATAACGGTGTCTGTCAGGGTTTTAGGGGTTTGGGGTTTAGGGGTTTAGAGCTTCCTATTTTTTGGCAGAGCGGTACTGTACAGGGGCTCTCAGGCGTTTATGCGTTTTATAGTGCTGCGCAGGGTTTCCACGGCCTTTGTAGGGCTTTTGGGGTTAGTATCACAGGGTTGTTAATCATCCGGCTTTTGGTAGGCTTTTGTTCAACAAGCAAACTGAGCGCGGTGCAGTACATACATAGCGCAAAAAAGGAGCTGAAGAAACGGATATGTACATCTGCAGTTGATGTAGACCAGTGTACATTCTAGTTCTAACATGTGACAGGTGGCGAGTTGATGGGGTTGGTGTGCGGGCTTACAGTCAGGGTTTAGGATGGGTTGGTTCAGTCGCTTCGATTTTTCTGAGTGTTGCGCGACAGGTACCTGTCTTGACAGGAGGTTACGTATCCGCTAGGCACGGGTTCTTCTCCAGAACACCTTAGTAGTGCCTACAGGTCCAGGGTTGTTCCAAATCAGACCCCGATATGTCGTTAGCTCATGGAGTCAGTTCATAATAACAAGGACCCGAGGCAGTGCTATCGTGCCAGACGAGGCTTTTAATTGCAAGTGGCATCTCTTCGGGATTTGGGCTCTAAGTTGCTGGTGGTCGGGGTATCCTTCATTATCCCTGGTTCTTTAGCAGCAGATGCACTGTGTTAGCTTATACATTCTGTTGCGTGCGATTCTTGGTCTCGGTCGTTTCTTGAGTCGATTGCAGGAACAGGGTGTAACCCTCGGGTTCAGGTTTTGAAAACCCGGCGGATTGGAGAACGTCTGGTCGCCGTAGGTTATTGCGATCATGGAATTAGATCTCTCCCAAAACCAAGAACCCTAAACCACAAAGCCCAAACCCTGATGTAAACCTTACGATCGGGCTCTAGAGGCTAATGTAGGCCTGAAGGTCGGGGTCTACCTGTTGCTTTTGTTTGTTTCAGGGTTGACGGTTTCGGTTCATGGAATGAGACTTAAGCTAGGGTCCAGGACAGAAAACTTGTCTGAGACCCCTATAGGGCCTCTGATGAAACCCGTCTAGAACCATCCCAAACCCTCTAGGACCGAAAGCGCGGAAAGTGAATATGCGGCTTTGAATACATAGCAAGGGCAGCCCATACAGTTACGTATGCTGTGCTCTGAGATCCTCATAATTGCCTGGGCTTTGAGCCTCAAGCCCAAACGGTGCTCAGGTTGCCCGGGCTTCGTGTTCTGGTGCATGGGCCATGGACCCAGAGGGTTTAGGGTTTAGGGGTTTAGGGTTTAGAGTTTATGTAGGGGTTTAGGGTTTAGGGGTTTAGGGTTTAGGGTGCATGGGCCATGCAGCCCACAGCGCCAGAGGGGATAGCCGTTTAAAGGGTTTGGGGCTTAAGGCTTAGAGTTCGGAGCCGGGTTGCGCTAAGCAAGCGCCGCGCCCATTGGAAGATTGATCACCAACTGAGACTGGGAAAGCCCGTGAGGATTCTACCCGCAACATGTTTCCATTTTCGTGGCTTCTTCCTGGTGTGTATGCAGCAACGAGTCAAGACAAGGACAGGAAGTGGAATTTGAGTTCCGGCACACGCTAGTGGGTGTTTCAGGAGCACGCCGTAACAGTTAGATGCTTCACGGTGCTGCCGATTCTGGCAGTACGTAAGCAAGATCGCCGTATTGGTAGCGAAAGCAAGCAGAGGTAGGAACAGCAACAAGGGATGGTCTCGATGCGAGTGCTGCGAACCGCAACCGACAACAGTAGTTACTCAAAAGAGACGATGTACCGAAGCCTGAAAGGGACGTTATGCTGCGCAGTATTGCTCCGGAATATCAGCAATGCAGGGATGGGAACATGTCATAAACCCTCACCCAGGTTCCAAGCCCTTAAACGCCTTACTAGAGCCCCGGAAGCATGTTGTCATGTCTCGACGTCGTTCGCAACTCCCGGCATCATTGCACTGCGACGGTCCCTGCATTGCGCCCAACACGCTTGCCCTGCAGTGGTTTGCAATTACCTTGTGCCACCTCGCTTTTGTGGAACATGATTCGTGGGCCAAGTGCGGCACAGACATTGCCATTGCCATCGTTTGGACTGTTCGACGCGCTAGTCCCTCCTGAAGTTGAGGGTCGTGGGACTCAAGTGACGAAGATGATGCGTCCTGCACTGGTTTCAAGCTCAGACATTCACGCTTCACAGCCTGACTGTGTGCATGTTGTCAGGGATGCTTGTTTCGAACCTGCCCAAAATCCACAAAGTCGTGGAGGTTGCGCTGAACTTTACGGGTGCGATGACGTTTGATGTGCCTTGCAAGGTCAGACCCGCCCAGGTTTGGCCCTAAACCGATGCACCTAAACTCTTGCAAGGCCCTTGTACAGCCATCCCAGACGCGCTCAAAGACCAAGCACCCTGGAACCCAAAAGCCAAAAACTCAAATCCCCAAATTCCAAGACCTTGAGCCCTAAGTTCTGAACCTCAAACCCGGCCCATACCCTGAACCCTAAACCCTGAACCATGAACCCAACCCCTTAACCTTAAAATCCTGAACCTAAACCCACAAGCTGAAACCCTAAACAACCGTCCTAAACCCTGAACCCTAGGTTTGGCTCATCTGCCGCCTCGGCTCTGCTACGAGCTCTGCTTTGGAAAGGACGGAAGGTTTCTTAGGCTCTTTTCATGAAGAGCTTAGGGTTCAGGGTTAAGGGTTTAAGGTCTACAGAGTCTAGGGTTTAGGGCTTTTTTAAGCGTTCATGTAACGGTTGCTTCCAGGAATGTCCAAGGTTCTACAGTATTCTTCTTCGGTGCAAGATCTGACGGCTTAGGCTGAGTTCGGCATTTTGATAGTAGGTTTGGGGGTTAAGGTTTGTTTTGTTAGTGTTACGGCCCTGATATATTGAATCCGGTAAAAGCCCCGCAACGCCTTCGGAACAACTCAGACCCACCAACCCTAAACCCTAAACCCTAAACCCTATAAGCCCTAAACCCTACCACCCCATTCAGCCTTAAATAGCCGTATTCCATGACAGCTCGAGATCTGCTTCGATTGCTTCAGTGCTTTGACAGGTTTGGGTGACAGGTATCAGGGTTTCGCGTTTAGGGTATTTGGGATTAGGGAATTAGGGTTTAGGGTAGGAGGCAGTTCCGAACTCACATCAAACCCTGCATCACCGCCTAGCAGGACTAGGTTTACATGGGGCCGGTACGCGTAGCATAATGGCATAGTCAGGATTCAGTAATGGTCCCTCCCCCACCCCAGAAACCATCAGGGTTTCGGGCATATGGTTTGCACTCAGGGACTTATAACCCCAATTGTAACGTCTTACTAAGTCCCATGATCCTTTAAGTATACCCTGTAATCAACGGATCCTAACCCGCTCGTTTACAGGGTTTGGGGCTGCAGGTAAAGCCTGAATATGGCACGATCCTCGAATCTTTACCTCATAACTGTAGTTATAAGTCCCTTAATTGGGGTTATAAGTATAATTATATGTATAGTTACCCCAATAATAACCCTAGTTAAACCCACTCTCAATGAGACTTGATTTCGGGGCTTGAGTGCGCAAGATTCGCCTCAGGATCTCGATGCTCCCAAATACTCCAAAACACAGAGTATTGACGGATAATAAGGAGCCCCAAGTGATTTGAGAGATATTCCTGAGTTACGCACTATACAACCCTATAACTATAAAACTATAAACAGCTTATGTGAGCTTATGACACCCGCAAGAAAGCCCAAAAGCGTATGAAGACTTTTTTAACAGTTCATGAACATCCAATTTCCTACGTGCCGAGCAGAGGGTTTAGGGTTCCAGGGTTTTGTGCCTGGGAAAATTCGGGATTTAGTTCCATGTAGGATCTTCGGGCTAGAGCCTTTACTGCTTTCGGGGTGGAAGATTTAGGGGTAATATAGGGGCCTGAATAATTACCTACACTACTTTGAGGGTTCCTTCTTATAGCTATAAATTTGGTATAACGTACTCTCAAAGCTCTATTATTAAGGCCCCTGTAATACACCCTTCGCCACCGGACCCATCTGCAAGGAGTACCGCCAGAGTGCCGAGAAAAGGCACCCCATTTCGATAAGGGTGCTATGAGGGTTCCAAAAGGGTCCGGCAGGGGGTTCTAAAATTTCACGGATCAGGGGACTTAGTACATACTGTTTACAGGTACCCCAATCAGCCCTAAACCCTAACCTATACTAGATCCTATACCTTGGACGGGCCCGCAGCTTGGGCTTTGGTTTTCGGAATTCTGGCCGGAGTTGGGATGTTTTGATAAGCCTTGCGCCCCAAAGCATAAAGTTATTCGCTATGTTAGGGTCTTTGGTCTGTTGGTGTAGGGCTTCGTAGGAATCATGACCGTGATGCTCTTGAATGCGATTGTCATGATTGCTGCCACAGATACTACCATGGCCATCATGGCAAACTGCAAACCCTGCAACCCCAAACCCTGAGCCCCAAGCATATCCTGAAACGCCTTGACGGTTCCTTACTCTATTCAAATTTGGAAACTCACCCTGAACCCTAAAGCCCTAAACCTTAAACCCTGAACCTTAACCCCTAAACCCTAAGCCCTAAACCTTGAACCCTGAATCTCATGCTTGAGTTTAACCTGTGGCCTTGGCACAGGTTACAGGCGGTCCTGGACATATACGCTGCCTGCCTCGGGTTTATGCAATCTTAGGGTTTAGGGTTTAGGGTTCAGGGTTTAGGGTTTAGGGTTTAGGGGTTTAGGGTTTATGCAATCTTAGGGTGTGGTAGGGGCTCTGGGGGATATTTTAGAAGCTGCCCCCACCCTGTAAGAGTGACTATAAGGATTATACAAGGGCCCTATTATATTCCTATTGTACCACTATTACAGGGTAGGGGCTTTGGGGGATGTTATACTATGATCTGCTTAAGCAGTCTTAGGGTTTCGTAGGGGTAATTGCGGGGATCTTATACTATAATCTGCTTAAGCACTCTTGTGGTTATTCTATAATCTGAAAAAGCATTCTTAGGGTTTTACTATAATCTGAAAAGGCATTCTTGGGGTTTTCTATGATCTGAAAAAGCATTCTTAGGGTTTCGTAGCGGGTTCCTTGATCGGGGCTGCATCTGGGCCTTGCAGGGTGTTTGGGGGTAAGGCTGGAAGGACTAAACTCTGAAACCCACCCTGGACCCTGAAAAGCCTACCTTTTTAGGGTTCCTTACTATGATTTCCTTATATAAGTCCTTAAAAAGGTAGGTTATTTGAGGTTAAGGACGGCCCTAAGGAGTTGCTGGGAAGGTTCGTAAACATTTTGCTTCCCGCGTGGAAGCTGCCAGCCTTGTAAGTTCAAGCGGTGAGTATATGCTCGTCCTTAGGGTTCTCATCGGACACTATAATCTCTCGCCAAAGGGTTGTGCTAATCAGTAAGGCTCCTAGGTTATGTCAGCCGGGCGGGGGAGTCTTAGGCGCTGCTCAGGGTAAGCGGTTTCAGGGTGTAGGACAACTTGCCTGTTTATTCATAAATAAATAAATAAATATATATATATATATATATATATATATATATAATATACACACATACGAATATGCATGTACACACACATATATATATATATATATAATGTATAAGGATGGCTCAATCTTTTTTGGCCCACTGAGCTTAGCAACCAGTTCTGATTGACTCTAGGTAGTAGGCACTTCAGAATGCAGTGCAAGATATCGTCTATTCAGTGGAGCTCAAGCAGGCATTGGGCACATGCTGATTCCCTGACCATCTCTTGCAACAGCGTCTAAGGCCTTCGAAAAGCTCGTGCACACAGACATACTGTGGCTCATAGTTCTTAGGGCTTTAGTCGGTGCGGCCCCTAAGCCCAAACCCTGTAAACCCTGACTGAAACCCAAAGCCCAAAGGCCTGCAGCAAACGAACAGGGCACCAAACCAATGCCCAAAGAAGCCCCGAACCCCGAAACGCCTTACTATAAGTCAGTGTAAGTCCTGAGTAAGGCAGCAAAAAGACCACATGCGTAAGGATCAAAAGTGTTCCTTATACCACCTAGATGCAAGATCCAGGTCCGTACGTGTAGACGCTCTTGCTGCCCGCAAGCCAACCTTCCATACCCAAAGAACTCAACACACTTTATAGCCTCCTACCCTGACCCTAAACCCCAAACCCAAAAGCGCCTGTAGCCTCGAAACCCTAAACCCTAAACCCTAAAAAATAACCTTAAACCCTAAACCCTAAAAAAATAACCCTAAACCCTAAACCCTTAGACGTCCTAGAAGCTCTGTAGCCGCTGTCAGCCCTCGAAGTCTCCCGAGACTCAAAGGAGAAGCAGATCCGAATGGCCAAGAAGAAGTTCGAGCAAGAGGAGCCACTTCCTAGGATAGAGGGTTTAGGGTTTAGGGTTTAGGGTCCTAGGATTCTGGCAGCTGTACGGGTCTGGGGCTTCGGTCTGGGCTTTAGGGTCCGTGTTTTTGTTGGTGTGGGGGTTTAACCGATTCCCCTAGTGTCTTCAGGGTCTTTGGATTGACGGTTATAGACAAGATCTATCGAACCCTGAGCTGGAATCCCCAAAACCTCAACCCCAAGCCCTGAACTATACTCCCCAAATCCCCACAATCCTTCAAGCCCTGCTGCCTAAAAGCCTAAAGCCCCAAGTGTGTCGGCTTTGGAGGTTTGTGGCCCTGGACCTCCGCAGCTCATGAAATTTGAAACCCGCTTTCGTTCTTTAATTCTGACTTTCTTCCGTTCTCGGCAACATGCGAAGCATTACACATTATATAATTGAAACACATACGTTTGTTTATAGTTCAAGGATTCAAGGGATCCTTCTACATTTCTAAGTCACAGTTCATATTTGTACCCCCCAGCTCTTAGATGCCCGAGGTTTGAGATGTTTGTGACTTGACCCCTCGCCACCCTACCCCCGAACCCCTAAACCCTAAACCCTAAACCCCTAAACCTCTAAACCCCAAACCCTAAACCCCTAAACCCCTAAACCCCTAAACACCCTAAACCCTAAACCCTAAACTGAACCTCTAAACCCCAAACCCTAAAACCCTGAACCTCTAAACCCCAAACCCTAAAACCCTGAACCTCTAAACCCCAAACCCTAAAACCCTGAACCTCTAAACCCCAAACCCTAAAACCCTGAACCTCTAAACCCCAAACCCTAAAACCCTGAACCTCTAAACCCCAAACCCTAAAACCCTGAACCTCTAAACCCCAAACCCTAAAACCCTGAACCTCTAAACCCCAAACCCTAAAACCCTGAACCTCTAAACCCCAAACCCTAAAACCCTAAACCTCTAAACCCCAAACCCTAAAACCCTGAACCTCTAAACCCCAAACCCTAAACCCCTGAACCTCTAAACCCCAAACCCTAAAACCCTGAACCCTAAACGCCCTAAACCGTGGAGAGGAGGACTCCGACAGCAACCAGGCGCTCCTTGAGCCGGTGGAATGGTGCACAAAGGGGTAGACTTGGAGGGGTCTATAAGGACTACTATAAGGGATCTATATATAAGGGTACTATAAGATAGGGGCCTGAATAATTAGATTAGGTTTTGGGGTAGGGGCACTATAGGGGCCTTAATAGTTACCAATACTAATTTTTTGGGGGCCCTTCTTATAATTATAGTATAATGGGCCCCATTACCCTATTCTAAGTATTAAGGCCCCTATATTAGACTTGGAGGTTCACAACTTGGAGGATCATGGGACTTAGTAACTGGGGTTTCTTAAAGGGCTCCTTAAGAGGGATCTATAAGCGTTCCTTAATGGGATCTATAGGGTTCCTTATAATGGGATCTATAGGGGTTTAGGGTCTAACTTAAAGTATCATGGGACTTAGTAACTAGGGTTTCTTAAAGGGATCCTTAAAGGGATCTATGGGGTTCCTTAATGGGATCTATAGGGTTTAGGGTCTACTTAGAGGATCATGGGACTTAGTAACTAGGGCTATAATTCAGGTAACTATTTATATCTTTATATCTACTTATAGGGTACTTATAACCATACTTACTAGGCCCCAGGCTTCCGTTTCTGCTTTTTGTGGTGCTGCGGGGGGGGTGGGGACCACTGGGCTTCGATCCAAAATGCCTTGGGTGTCTACCGTTGAGGATCCATATCAGGAGCATAGGGCACAGTGACATAGAAACCTGCCACCCCAGACCCTGTACCATAAACCCTAAACCCTTATAGAACCCTTGCAGGAACCCCTTAAAAGAAACACCCAAAGGCCAAAACCCCTAAGGAACCCATACAGGAACCCTGTTATCTTGCCAGCCACCGTAATTGCGCTGGGACAGGGTGGAGCCTTTCTTGTTTGTTGATCTTGATACCGCTGTAGGACTAAACCCTAAACCCTAAATAAACCCTAAACCTTAAATCCTAAACCCTAAACCTTAAATCCTAAACCCTCAACCTTAAATCCTAAACCCTCAACCTTAAACCCTAAACCCACAACCTTAAACCCTAAACCCTGGGCACGAGTGATCTAAAGGGACTCTGAAGCCCTTGCATCTGCTGGAGCCCATCGAAGCCGGTTGCTTAAGTCAACCCTGAGCTCTACAACCCCATTGGGGGGGCCTGAATATGTAGCAATACATGGGAGTTTCCGAGTATTCGGGGTACCATATTTTGGGGTCCTTACAATAAGGATCCTACTATTTGGGGGTAGTATATTAGGTTCCGTATATGCTACTCTGACGATTCCTTAGCGTTCATTTACATGTTCATAGCATCATCGACCCCTGTAGTGCGCTTCATGCAGCAATATTCAGTTCGCAACATGCCCAATACACACCCGGGCCCTAAGCCCTGGTTAAAACCTTAAACCCTAGGCCCTAAACCCTAAACCCCCAAACCCTAAGCCCTAGACCCTAAGCCCTAAGCCCTAAACCCTAGACCCTTCTGTTGGGGCAGGGGACCGTGGATGCCAGTGACTGCTTGGAGTGCGAGGAGGCTCTCTTTCCGGGTTTGGGAAAAAGAGGGAGTTTCCGAAAGTTAGGGAGCACCTTAGGGTTCCCTGCAAGGGGTCCTTAAAGGGATCGAGAAGGGTTCTATAATGGAGATTATTGTAAGGAGTTTCCGAAGTTAGGGGTACCTTTAAAGGGATCCTTCAAGGGTTCCTTAAAGGGATGTATAAGGGTTCTATAAAGGGTTTAGGGTTTAGAGTTTCCGAAATCAGGGGACCCGAGTATAGCACCCTAATTGGTACCTTAGGGTTCCCGTTAGAGGGTTACTATAAGGGTGTTATAAGGGTTCCCTTAAAGTGCTCTATAAGGGGTTAGAGTTTCCGCTTAAAGGATCACTTAGTAACTAGAGTTGGGCTGTAGATCCGATAAGGAACCGAAAGGAAGAACACAAGTAACTGTTCACGCATCTATAAATGGGAGTTCCCGAAAATGGGCGACCCGAGTATAGTACCCTAAATAATAGGATCCATATTATCAGGAAAGCCCTGATATGGGAGTTTCCGAAATCAGGGGTACCTTACCTTATATTGGGGTCCTTATAATAAGGATCCCACTATTCAAGGTACTATATTAGGGTCCCCAAGTTTTCGGAAACTCCCCAGTTGTATTGTGTTTACAAAGCCCAGAAGCTGGTACATCACAGAATGGTCACGTAATGGCTGCAAAAGTCCACCCCTTAACCTTTCTCTGAAAGCCGGAATAAGGGGGTCAGATCAGTTAGGAATCTTGTCCCCTACGGTAGTGATGGAGTTATTCTTCAGAAATCCGCAAACTTAAACCTTTGCCTTTGAGCCGGGGACTTAGCGCTCTTCCGTATTTATGGCGTAGCCCCTCCAAGGGCCTTATAAACATTACAGAACCCTTCTAGACTCCATATAATGGAACATTATTGCTTCCTTAGAGGGCCCGTTCCTTAGTAGGACTGTTTACAACCCGTACAGAGCATGTGCAGGCCATACCGTTATCTCTTGTTGGCTCCAAGTAGCTCGCAGCCACGCGCCAAATCCAGCTTGAACACACCCGAAACCCTTACACCAACAGGCCCCGAAACCCCTAAGCCCGAAGTGAGCCAGTAGACCCTAAACCCTGAACCCTAAACCCTGAACCCTAAAACCCTGAACCTGGACCCATGACCCCCCTTTGAAGCCCTGCATCCTGGAGCTCCTAAAGCCCCAGAACCCCCCCCCCCCCCCAAGTCCTAAAGGCCTTGTGGAATCCTTACAGAACCCTGAATACAGAAGCCTGAATGATTAGTCATACTATTTTGGGGGCTCCTTATAGTAGCTATGACCATAGCTATACTACATCAGACCCCTACCCTTATTATATCTATGACGGTTATAACTATGACTACAACTGTACCACATCATACCCCTGACCCTCTTCTGCTTTACAACGCCCCTGGTTTTGTATATCCCGCGATCCTCGATCCTCTGCCTCATCACGAGAAGCTCCATAGTCCCAGACTTGAGGAATAAGATGAACCCTAGACTCTAGTCCCTAAGCCCTAAACCCTAAACCCTAAGCCCTAAACCCTAAACCCTAAGCCCTAAACCCTAAAAAACCCTAAGCCCTAAACCCTAACCCTAAGCCCTAAACCCTAAACCCTAAACCCCCTAACCCTAAAACCCCCTAAGCCCTAAACCCTAAACCCTAACCCTAAAACCCTAAACCCTAAACCCTAAACCCTAAGCCCTAAGCCCTAAACCCTAAACCCTAAGCCCTAAACCTAAACCCTAAGCCCGAAACCCTAACCCTAAGCCCTAAACCCTAAGCCCTAAGCCCTAAACCCTAAGCCCTAAACCCTAAACCCTAAGCCCTAAACCCTAAACCCTAAGCCCTAAACCCTAAACCCTAAGCCCTTTAAAAAGCCCTGATCCCGGACTATCAGAAGCCCTCGAAGATTCCAGAGGAATCCCTGCCTGAATGCAAAGGGGCCTTGAAGTTGCTGTGCTCCTTATGGGAGTTTCCGAAAATGAGGGGTACCTTTAAAGGGATCCTTTAAGGGTTCCTTAAAGGGATCTATAAGGGTTCTATAAAAGGTTTAGGGTTTAGAGTTTCCGAAAATTAGGGGTACTTCGTTTAGGGATCCTTATAATAAGGATCCTACTATTTAGGGTGCTATATTAGGATCCCCTATTTTCGGAAACTCCCATATCAGCTGACACAGGCCTTCAAGGGTTGTATAAGGTATCCTTCAACGGGTTCTAGAAAGAAGGGATCTATAGGGAGTTGTATAGGGCTTGAGGGTCTAAGCATGAAGGAGCCCTTTAAGCCGTAAAGGAGCCCTGATCAGGACTTCGGGCTTAGGGTTACCGAGCCCTTTTACTTACCTTTGGTTAGTAGGGAATGGAAGAATGGTAGTAATAGTAGTTTTAATTGTACCCCACTCCTCCATTCCCATCCTCCGTTGCTTCGTGGCCGCATGCTTCGAGTGTGGCTGGCGTCTGGACAAGAGCTGGCCTCGCTTCGCGAGGAGGACTTGAGCGACGTAGGAGCCCTGAAGAGTCCCTTGGCTTCCCGTTTAAGGTTTCTTAGGCTTTTTTACAGGTTTCTTAGGCTCTTTTCATAAAGAGCTCAGGGTTCATGGTTGAGGGTTTAAGGTCCATAGAGTTTCAGCTTTGGGGTGTTTGAGGCTTTGGGACCTTTAGTAGCAGAGTGGGGTTTCTTTAGCACGTCATGCGACAACTAAGGCCACCTGCGGAGGGCGCATGGCTTCCCTCTTTGCCTGCAGCAGCTCTTGCAAGACGGGAGCATACTGATGGATTCTGGAAAACTTCAGGCGCCAGGCGACATACAGCTGGTACTTCTGCCGATCTCTCCGCAGAACATGCCCGAAGCTGCTGCGGAGCTCGCTCCTCGTCCTATCTACTAGTAGTAGTAGTAGTAGTAGTAGTAGTAGTAGTAGTAGTAGTAGTAGTAGTAGTAGTAGTAGTAGTGGCAGTAGCAGTAGCAGTATTAGTAGTAGTAGTAGTAGTAGTAGCAGCAGCAGCAGCAGTAGTAGTAGTAGTAGTAGTAAAGCGTATTCGAGTACACATTATAGTTTATGATCGCATTCTATAGTTTAAAAGCCCCTCACATGTGAACAGTCTTGCGAACTTGAGTCAAAATCAGAAAACTCGAAGCATATCCTAAACCTAAAATTCCGAAGAACGACAGGCTTTGAGAAGCCCCTGAGTCCTACGTTTCCCAAAAGCCACCGCTAGCTTCTGGGGTCCACAAGTTTCAGGATTCTTGGAGTTTCAGGCCTCGGTTTTCGGATTTGGGGTTTAGGGTTTAGGGCCCCAGCCCGAAGCAAACCCCAATGACTCCTCAACCCTATAGTCTTTAGTAACTATAGTATTACGTTCATGGGGACACATTTGGGGGGCTAAGGGGGAGAGGGGGAAGGGGACTATGCTTTCTTAAACAGGCCTGATCAAGTCCTCATTATAGGTACAAAGGCCCCCCTACCCCGAGGGTCCCTATGATACGTAAAGTGTTTAGAAATTAGTGAGAGCCCACACTTTTGCTAAGACACACACACCGAAACCCTATCCTAGTGATCAAATCCACAGCAACCCAAAGTCCCTGAAGCCTTGAAACCCGAAAGAAAAGGTAGTGTGGGGTTCCCTTGAACTCCTGATTCCGGAGCCCTGGTAGCCAGCACCCGGTTTCGGGTTTTAGGTGGTGTGGCTTTTACGGGTTAGGGTTGAGGGTTTAGGTTTAGTTGAGGGTTGAGGCAGCTACCGGTTTCTGTTTAAGGTATACGATCACATTTTCATAGATTGTAGTACATCATAGTGTGTCATAGCAATGTACTGTTGGTAACCTAGTACGTTAGACTAAAGAGCACCCTAAACCCTAAACCCCAAACCCTAAACCGTTCCTCACATGGTTGTATACCGAAGCTCTGCGTGGCTGCCGGGGTTCTTCCGAAGTCGCCTGGTCGTAAGCCCTAAACCCTAGTACAGGGGCCTCAATCATTACCAATACTCTTTGGGGGGGTTCCTTAATATTCCCCTATTATTTTGTAGAGAGCCATAGTAGTAGATAATTTTCAAGGGGCTTAAAGGACAACTCAGATAATTGTAGTATAACGGGCCCCGAAACCCTATACTAATTGGTAAGGCCCCTACATTCACCCGCATTAACGAAAAACCCTAAACCTCAAACCCGAGTCCCTCAAGCCCGACTCCTCATAGAAGTCTTAACGCCCTTTCTAAAATCCTGTGGATGACATTTTGAGATCTGATAAGCTGCAGGCCGTCATAACATCTTATACAAACCCTCATGAAGCTCTTACGGAACCAGTAGTCGCTTGATAAAGCCCTGATCAGGCCGGATCCTTGCCGTGAAAGCCGAGGTCGCTTTCGCCGCCTTCGAGGGTCACGTCGCGACCGCGCGCTTTCTGCTGCGCGCGGGCGTCGATCGTGACCTGAAGGAGCCCACTTTTCAGACTCAAAACCCTCAACGCTAAATTCAAAGCCCTACAGCCAACCACTACACCCTAACCACTTCTCCACAGGGTTTCTTCAAGGTTTCTTCCAAGGTTCTTTAAGGGTTCCTTAAGGGCTGTTTCAGATGTGTAGGGTGATCATGCGGTTCTACAGGGCCTTGGGTCCTTAAACCCCTGAACCCCTAAACCCTAAACCCCCAAAACCCCTAAACCCCTAAACCCTAAACCCTAAACTCTAAACCATGAAACCCTAAACCCTGAACTTAGGCCCTAAACCCTAAACCCTGAACCCTAATATTTAGGTGCCCAGGGAGTTCGGTCCAAGGAAGGGGTCGACGAGCTTCTTTAGGCTTGGGGGGCCATGTTTTTTGGCATCGTCTGTAATAGCAAGAAGGGGCCCTGAATAGGGCAAGCCTTTTTGGGGAAGCTTCCATGTGGGATTTCAGCATTTTCCTGGGCTATCTGCTATCCTTCATAATATACTTTTGGACATTTTGTATAGGTGCTTCTGCCCTCGCTTTTTGTTCGCAAGGCCCCAGACTGTACCACATATACCTTCCCTACGCCTTAAATTCTAAACCCTGACCCCTAAAACCACCAACCTAAACTGTGAGCCTGCGGGGCTGGCACTCTTAAGCTCGAGCCTCAAATTCCAAAACTCCATATTCCAAGACTCGAAACCCATATAAAACCTCATACTCTTGTGAAACCCTTCAGACACCCTTATAGAAAACTTCCAACACCTTATAGAGCCTTTGCAGAAATCCAAACAGGAGATCCTAAACCCCAAGCCCTTTTTCGAATCCTCAGCTTTCGCAAGCTTCAGAGTGCACCTAAACCCTAAACCCTCGGCAGGACGCCAAGGGCTTCACGGCTCTCATCCGGGCTTCCGCCCAGGGCCACGCCGAGCTCGTGCGCCTGCTGCTGGAAGCCGGTGCAGAACAAGACTGCCACCCGGACCCGAGCAAACACCACTAGTCGTAGTAGTAGCAGTAGTAGTAGCAGTAGTAGTAGTAGTAGTAGTAGTACTACTACTACTGCTATGACTGTTACGACGACGACGAAAGCAACCACTACTCCTGCTGCCGCTGCTGCTGCTGCTGCTGCTGCTGCTGCTTTGCGACTGCGACTGCTACTGCTAGTAGTCTTACTGATGTTCTGTTGTTGTCGTCGTTGTTGTTATCAATAATACTGTTAATGGTTATTGTGGTTGTTCTTGTTATTCTTATTGTTCTTATTGTTATCGTTGTTAGTGTTATGCTTATTGGTACTGTCCTTGTTAGTGTAATCATTAGTGCTATTGTGTTGTTAAAAGGATTACGATACTTGGTTGCTACTATTATGCTGGTTTTGGGACTCAGGTGAAGAACTTTAGCTCGTACGAGTACTACTAGTGCAACAACCGGTACAAGCACTGACGACATCCCCAACTAAGGTATTCCGGTACTCGTAAACTCTAGTGATCCTTAGAAAGTTGGAGCATGGACTTAGGACAATTAGTGCCGGGAAATCCCATACTTCACTCTGAGGGCATGAACCCTAAACCCTAAACCCTTGTTCCAACTTTCCGGCTTCTAGTTTAACCCTGCTTAATACATACCCCATGGAGCTCCGAGTAATGTAGGGGCCTTCGTAATTTCTTACACTATTTTGTGGGATCCCGTATTTTCAGCATAGTATGATATACCACACAAAAACTCACTCAAATTATTCAGGTCCCCGATATACTATAGAACCCTACTACAGATCCCTTATAGACCCCTTTAAAAGGAGCCCTCTTCCAATTCTTAAGGTCCCTATAATAGGTGTGGAGCGCGAGACGGGCATGACTGCCCTCATGCGAGCCTGTGTTGCGGGCAGCGTGAAGACGGTGCAGCTCCTGCTGGATGCCGGAGCGGGCGTGAAGTTTCAGGAGCACCCTAAACCTTAAACCCCTAAACCCTAAAGCCCTAAAGCCCTAAGCCCTAAACCCTCAACCCCAAACCCTGAAACCATAAGCCAGAATCCATAGAGGGGTCACGATTCACGGTCAGTTCTTAAGAGCTAAGCAGGGCCTGGGGCGAAGGTCTTCCTTCACAGGTTTTGGGTTTACTTTAGGTGCTGCCCCCATGCAGCAATAGTCTATTAATAGGGCGATTATTAAGGTCCCAATATATCTCTATTATGATATTATGAATACTACTCAACTATTACTGAGTGGGGGCCGAGCCCAAGGTTTAGGGTTTACTAAAGGGCCAAAAAGCATGACCAATACGACTTTGGGGGTTCCTTATTATAATTAGAGTATAATGGGCCCCAGACACCTATTCTAATTATATAAGGGCCCTATACTATAGTACCATTATAGACCACTTATAGACCACTTATAGTACCCCTCTAAAGGACCCCTTTAAAGGAACCCTATTCTAATTATTAAGGTACCCAAATTAACCCTGAAGCCACGTAACATGCGTCCTCGGGCAGAAGGAAGTTCGGGATCGGCGAGATGTCTTGATCGTTTATGGTTTAGGGTTTAGGGGTTTACGGTTCCAGGGGTTTAGGGTTTAAGGTTTAGGGCCCTGTGTTCACCTGTCAGTCTGAGTGACCTGCTCCCTGATATGGGAGTTTCCGAAAATTAGGGGTACCTTGTTATGGGGTCCTTATAATCAGGATCCTACTCTTTAGGGTAATGCAATATATCTTTTCGGAAACTCCCATATAGAAGCCTCAAACCCTAAACCTCAAACCCTAATTACCAATATTCTTCCTTCGGCTACCTTTCTATATTTCAGGCATTATTTACCCCCCAAAAAAGAATATTGTGCTAAGGCCCCTATATTAGGTGGTCAGATCTCCCCCTAATTTTAATTAAGAGCCCTTAAACCAGGTGCCCCTAAATGAAACCCCGACGCCTCATCCCTTAACCCAGATAGTGTTGAGCATGGGATGTCTTCTTCAGAAGCTGCCCCCACCCTGTAATAGTGGTATAATAGGAATATAATAGGGCCCTAATATACTCCTTATAGTCACTATTACAGGGTGGGGGCAGCTTCTAATGTCTTCTGCAGGACCTTGGCGCGATGACGGCTCTGCACCATGCGTGTTTGGAAGGTCATGCAGAGATCGTGCGTCTGCTGCTGGCAGCTGGTGCCTGCAGCAGGGTGCAGAGCTTGTATCTGGGCCGTGTTTTATCTTCAAAGTTTAAACTGAGCCCCATACCCTGCTTGTTTTGTTAAACACTTCCTATGTATTCTTTTCTAAGCCTGAGATGGGAGCAATGCTTGTCGTAGACTGCATCCCAGAGAAGCCCAGGTACGGTGTCACCGCTCTGGCTGCTGCAAGTAGCCGCGGTCATGTCGATACCGGGCTCTAGTTGAGGAGCTGAATTTAGATTATTGTCTTGTACGGGTTTAGGGTTTAGGGTTTAACCAAGAGCCCGTGCAGAGCTGTTATGCAGCCCGATAATTACAAGCCTTACGCAACTTTATAAGACCTCTAGACAACCCTTTTAGACCCTTTCCGTGGTTGAACCCTGTACTCTAAACCCATTCTGAGCCTCTGCAGAAAAGGCCCATTGCACTTAAAAAACAAATCATTCAGAATTCTTAAACTCACGCAGAACCCAGAAAGTCGTCCGTCTGCTGCTGGATGCGGAGACCCACATGCAGTTGAAGACGCATGACTGCGTGCTGGCCCTGCGGTGCGCATCCGAGAATGGCCGGATTGAATCTTGTTCCTGGTTGGAAACTTATGCTTTTGGTTATTATGTTTTAGGCTTTCGAGTTGCAGGTTTGGGGTTTAATTGGGGGTTTAATGATTAGTTTAAGTCATGGATGAGGAATCGGTATCATGTGCAGTCGATACAACAGAAGCCCAGGACGTCGTGCGGTGGCTGCTGGGGGCTGATGTTGACAAAGGCTTCAAGTATTGCTATGGTTCCATGACAGCCATGATATCTGCAGCTGACAAGGGCCACGTTGATGTCGTGCGCTTGCTTCTGGAGGCCAACATGGACAAACAGCTGCAAGATGCGGCAAGCCAAAAGGAGCTTCGCTGTTACGGCGATACAGCGCTCATTAATGCATGTCACAAAGGCCACCTGGAGGTCGTGCGCCTGCTCTTAGAATCTGGGGTGGACGCAGATGTCAGAGATTATGACGACAGGACCGCCCTAATGCATGCAGCAGAGAACGGCCATGCGGACATCGTGCGACTTCTACTGAAGGCTGGAGCGAACAGGGACTTGAAGAGCAGTTACCTAAACCAAACGGCCCAAAGTTGTGCGGCCGACTGCGGCCACGATGCCATCGTGGCGCTGCTCGAAGATACCGAGGGCGAGAGCGCTACAAAGCGTGTCGTTTCAATCTGAAAAAGCTACACTGGTAACGATTTGGGATAGTTTTAACTTTCCCTTACTGTTCAAAACAGAGCCCCAACTATAAATCAGTTTGGGGCTGTTGAAATCGACACGTAGTACATCTTGGTCACCAAACGCCAAGCGACAAACCTCGAACCCACCAATTCCTAAACCCCAAACCCTTCACTCGACTTGGAAACTTACGTACTCTGAGTCCCGATGATAAGTACTAGTACGGGCCTTACAACTCCCCATAAATTTACCGCTGTAGAACCCCTTTTGGGTCTAGGGTCTAGGGTTTGGGGACTGGACAGTTGAATCAGGTCCTTTGAGTGGCTTCGTGCTTTTCATTCAAAGTACTGTCATGCTACAACCTGAAGTCATGAAAACTGTTATACCTTCCTGGTATGGCTCGACTGCTTGCTCTTATCGTTCCTAAACCGTATAAGCCCAAACCCATTTGAGCTACAGCCTTAGCTGAGGCCTGGGTTTAGTGCCTAGAGTGTTCAAGGAGGTCCGTAATACGGATTTCCGTGAACACTCTAGACGTTAAACCCTAATTAAATCCTAAACACCGTATAGGGGCTGTTCACGGCTCCCTTCGTTGCAGGAGGGGAATCCGGATGCCGAGTAGCTCCGCTGTGAGGCGCACCGCCGGTGCTTCCAAAGGAGCATGAGGGATTAGTGGTTTAGGGTCTCAGATTGTTTTGGGGGGTTTGAGGGTCTTAGGGAGTAGTTATTATGGTTTTCGGGTCTCAGATTTTGCAAGTTCCGCCCTAAACCCTAAACCCTAAACCCTACACCCTAAACCCTAAACCCAGGAATCTGGATTTCCGAGAACGGCGTGAATTTTTGGCCTTGGGCCGGAAGTTGCAGGATCCTTCAAACCCTCAACCCTAGACCCTAGACCCTAAACCCCAAAGCCCGAAGTTTCTACAAGCCCTGAAGTTAAGGTTGAGGGTTTAGGATTTCGATTTCAGGGTTTGGGATTTAGGATTTAGGGTTTAGATTTCAGGGTTTGGGGTTTAGGGTTTGAGGGATTGGGGGACGCAACTTCTGCAAGCCCGGAGCTGTAACCCAAACCCCCAACTCCCAAAGCACCCCTAAACCCCTAAACCCCTAAACCCTAAACCCTAAACCCCTAAAGCCCCAAACCCTAAACCCTAAACCCCTAAACCCCTAAACCCTAAACCCTAAACCCTAAACTGCCGGAGGCCTCTGGGCAGAGCAGGGGTTTCTCCTTGATGGGCTTCTTTAAAACCCCCCCCGGAGCCACCAAGTTTAGGGCAGTTTGTTTAGGGTTTCAACCCTAAGCCCTAAACCCTAAACCCTACTTAAAGGATCATGGGACTTAGTAACTAGGGTTATACTTAAGGTAACTGTACTTAGAACTACTTATATCCCCTTACTAAGTCCCGTGATCCTCCAAGTAAGGTTCAGCTTCGAGGCTCAGGGTTTGGGTCTTAGGGATGCTAAGCCCGAAACTGGAAGAAGAGGGATTTAGGGGTTTCGGGTCTAGGGTTTTTGGGTTTAGGGTTTAGGGTTTTGGGTTTAGGGCCCGTTGACAGCAATAAGAAGCCCAAACCGCAAAGACAAAGAACAATCCTTAACGCACTCTAAATCCTAAACCCTGGACCCTAAGCCTTAAAGCTAAACTCAGTGCCTACTTAAAGGATCATGAGACTTAGTAACTAGGATTATAATTAGGGTAGCTGTACTTATAAATACTTATATCCCCACTTGGGGTACTTATAACCTTACTTACTAAGTCCCATGATCCTCCAAGTAGCGTTAAGTAAGCCCGCAGCTCCTCGAAGGTTGGTCGGCCAAGTGAAGGCTCTTTCGACGAAGTCGTCCGCGTAAACGCGAGCCGGGTGTTTGAAAGGATCAGGGGAGGTTAGGGTATAGGGTTTAGGGTTTATCGGAAGGATCAAGGATCTTAGCCAGTGGAGTTGCAAGTATTTGCAATTGGGGTTGAAGATATGTTGCTCTAGTGGACTTACTTACCCCCGGAGCACCTCCCCTGATCCACCGAGTATATTTGATACCACCGAATCCAGACGGCTCATGTCGCAGACGCAAATTCCAGAAAAGGTTGAATCCTAAATCCTAAACCCTAAACTCTAGACCTTAAACCCTAAACTCTAGAACCTAAACTCTAAACCCTAAACCCTAAACTCTAAACCCTAAACCCTAAACCCTGAACCCTGAACCCTAAACCCTTTGGGGGAGCCCATGGTTCTCTCAAAGTTCTACGGTATAGGGTTTAGGGTTTGAATCATGAGAGCAGGAGTTTGAGGGGTCGTATCGTAAACTTGTATTATGCATTATGTATTGTGAAGGGGTTGTGCGTAAAAGGGAAGCCAAACACGAATGACTCAGATCTATATGCCTCAGACCCTTTTTGTATCCGTTATGGACCCTAAAAGGGGCTCTCAAGGGATTTTCACTAACATCCAAGAGGCTAATATGTGTTTGGGCAAAGACACGGCTGCGACGTGTGCTATCGTCTTGAGGCCTGTGGGACGGACAACCCTGAACCACCCTAAACCCTAAACCCTAAACCCTAAACCCCTAAACCCTTAAACCGCAAAGCCTAAACCAGGAGGCCTGGGTCCTAGTTTGGGGGTCCTTGTACTACCAAATGTTTTTTGGCGATCCCCAAAGTTCTGAAAACTCACAATGCAGTGTTGCAAGTCCGGCAGGCCTTATGCGTTAGGATGTAGCGACACAGCCATCTGCTCTTTTCATCTCCGACTCGGTACCAATGTATGATACTTAAGGGGTCAGGGGAGCCAGCCACAAACGCTGTTACAAGGAAAGCGAGTTATACCACAAATCCGAAACTCCAGAGACCCTAAAACCTTAAAGCCCTAGCAAACAGCCCTAATCCTTAAGCCACTTCGCGCGCTTACAGAGTGCCTACAGGAAGGATCGAGATCCTCGACCGTCCGGGAAGTAGTGTAGGCAAATTATGGTCTGGATAAGAGAGAACATCACTGTACACATTAAGACAAGTACTAGTGTTGATCCCTGTGCCGGAGAAGATGCACATCGTGTGCGAGCAGCGGTTGTGGCTGTGTTTGATCATTTTCGGCTGGCTTTTGCGCTACGTGCAAGCGCATCAGCCATGCCCTTTTACTGTAGGCGCTTTGGGGGCTGTCCCCAATGCCACCAGTGAGTGTGGCAGAGTGCCATGTAGGCAATCAACTACCTCTCCAAAGTTCGACGAAAAAGCAATGACCACCATGAACCATAGCTGCCAACCGTGAACCCCTAAACCCCAAATCCCTAAGCCCTAAACGCCTAAACCCTAAACCCTAAACCCTATAAACCCCACATTATCAGCTCCAAGCCCCAAAACCGAAACCTTAAACCTCTAGCCTGGAACCCTAAAATCTGAGTCCATGCTTGGCCACTCTGCCCTCGGGCGGCAGAAATTACCCCTGCGTGCTCCCCCCTTGGAGGACTTCTTGTGAAGCAGGCAAGGTTCTCCAGGGGGCCTGGAGTGACGAACAGTGGAGAAAGCCGGGACAAGTTTGAAAAAATTGGACTTCAGGTGTAGGGTTTGTTGTTTAGGGCCTCGGGCTAGAGTTTACGGGGGGCTCCGAAGAAAGCTTTTGCATTCGGCGTGGTTTCGCATAACAGATTACCATGTCTAGGATCGAGGCCTTAGGCTGTTGGCAATGATTTTAGGATATGGTTTGTGGCTAAAGGTTTAGGGAACACCCAGAGTAGCTAAACCGAAACCCTCCTCCCGCAAGCCTAAACCCGACCTCACAACCAAACTCCTATCCATGAACTGCTGCAGAGCTTCCTACCTAAATACACCCTAAACCCTCAACCCTAATCCCTAAAGCTGAAGCCCTAAACCCTAAACGACAGACCTTAGACCCTAAACCCTTAACCCTGCTCCCAACAAAGCTTTAAACAACAACCCAAACCTTAATCCCAAACTCAGGGAGGACCCAGGGAGACCCAAGACTCCTTTAACCGGGGTGCAGTCGGTAAACTCAGTGATGGTAGCATGCCCCATAAATTTAACATACGTAAAAATCAGAAAACCCGAAACCCGATATGCTTGAGGAAACAAATCCTTCGTTATGATCTGAAGTTCTGTATTATGTAAGGAATATCCTTGCATGCAGTCTGTTGCTATCGGCATGCTTATTTTACGAGTGTTGTCATCATGGCCAGCACTATTGCTGTCTTGATTTTCCCATGGCTGTCGTTACAGTTGCTGGCCGTTTGCTTTTGAAGTTGGGTTTAGAGTTTGGCGTTCAGGGTTTAGGTGTTCGCGTGTTTGGGCTTGGGGGCTGTCACTCACCACGTTCACTCTAGGCTGAGCTTGCTGCCATATATGAACACCAAATCCCGAACCTCAAACCGGTAACCCTAAACCTCAAAGCCGAAAGCATCAGCCTTCCGGCACACCTGTCTGGGGTTCGGGTGCTATCTGCCACTGCTATCCGAGTTTGCTTCATCGTTACGGTATGCCTTGCAGCGCGGCAACCACAGAAGGCTTGTGCAGGACCCTGGCCTTAGCATGGAAGACTCCGTACACTCGTAACCCTCCCCTAAACCCTAAACCCTAAACCCGAAAACCCTAAACCCTAAACCCTAAACCCTCAAACCCTACACTTCAAACCTCCAGCCCGAAACCTTGAGCCTGGAATCTTGAAGAATGCACTCGAAACCCTTGACCCTAAACTGAGTCTCCACGTTAAGGTCTTTATCTAGGACCCAGAGTAGGCCCTTATTCCCTTTTTTAGGGTTCAGGTTCCCTTATAAGCCTCTTTAAACCAAAAAGGGCATCCTTTTCATGCCTGGGTTACTCTTGGGTCTAGTTATGTTGGGGTTCTCGGTTCAAAGAGTGAAGGTAGCTGGGGCAAGTCCCTGGTTCTGGTGTCATCGCCGGGTTTCAGGGTTTCCGGGGTTTTGTGGTGAGACTTTCTTGGGTTTTGGTTTCGGGTCGAGGGGTTGAGGGATGTGGGGTCGAGAGTTCGAACGTCTGTATTCGGGCATGTTGGGCCCTAAACCCTAAACTCGAGAAGCTTAAGAGCTGCCTAGATGTCATTTTGGGGTGTGACCCTGCTGTAAACCCTAAACCCTGCACCCTAAGCCCCACCTCTTCACCTGACTTTACCTTGAACTAGGCCCCATGACAAAGCGCACTGATTCTTTCTGCCGCAGATCTCAGGAAAGTTCGGCATATTCCTAGCAAGCTCTGTCCCAAGCCTCAAGCCGTTTCCCCGAACTTCTCTGCCGCACACCATGAAGCATCCGAAGAAGAGACCCTGCCTCCGGCACAGAAAATCCAAAACCTCTCAGATTTCAGGTTACCTAAACCCGAGGGTAGGGATTAGGGTAGAGTTTGCGATTTCGGATTCAAGGTCTGGGTTTTGCCCCTGCCATAATCGGCTGCCTCCGACCTACCGGAGCAAAGTGCGGCCGCAGACGGGATGGCTGCCCAGCTGCATTTATGGCGCTTTACTTTTATTTCCAACAGCGGTTTTTTTGGGGGTGTTAGTACGATTCTGTTTACATCGGGTGTTATATTGGTTGGTATATGTACAGGGTCCTATTCGTGTTATCTGCATGTTTTACTAAGACTCATAGCTGATATCAACATTA